CTGCTGGGACAAGAAGGAGCAATTAAACTGATCACTTAATACCTGATAATCTGCATTACCTGCCGCAAGTGATTAACATCACACGCAGGCCGGCTGCCAGGGGGAACACACACAGTAACACTACTGCAGAGCCACCAGGTCAGCATGAAGCAACACTGACCAGTCACTTTGTTTTTTAAATCTATACCACAGAGGAAGAACAAGAGCATTTATTTTATAGATTGAGACGAAGAATCAAGAGTTTCACAAATAAATATATTTGTACAGATGTGTAAATATTAGGGACGTCAATGGGTAACTGTTCATCGGTTAAGTTAAGCATGTCTGTCCTTGACAAAGTTTAATTCAGCTACTCTTCAGTTTAAATGCACTGTACACCACCCGTGCCACAAATTTGTGAATCCTAGGACAGCAAAGTAATGTCCCACTCTATGCTCTCTACGACTGGCTAGTACCTGTTGCCCTCGTTGGTTGGATTGGTTAGGTTTAACCAAGAGGAGTGGGATTAGCTCGGGCTGGAGTGTCAGGGTAAGCCGATTAGAGGCAGAGTAAGGCGGGACATTCCTTTGCTATCCTAGGATTAGAAAAATTCGCACTGGAGTGTGGTGGGAGCTAGCTAGCAGCATCGCTCATTCAGCGATTACCGCAAAGACTGTATATAAAGATGGACAACATGATAGCTACCCAGAAGTGAAGCTGAAACATCTTGATCGCCACCTGGTGGCTGGCTGCAGTATGGGTCATAAAGCCCGCCCTCTCTGTGTTAGTGGATGGGACATGGGCCAAACTAAAAACTCAAAGTACTCAAATACAGTTTCCCAAAGGTGATTTTGTCATTTAAGGTCATTTTTATCATGCTGATGTTTGTTCAAGTGTTCGTTTTTCTGATAAGTTTGGCTTTTAATAGTTTAATGCTAAAAAACGGGGATTTTACAACATGATTGACAAACTGTGTGAGCCAGTTGGTGGGCTCGCATTCAGTGGTGCTGCTCATGATTGGTCGGGGTGGGTGTATGGGCGGGAAACTTGATACTGGTGAAATCGCTATTGCACAGACTCTGGCTCCATAGATATATATACGTAGATGCTGCATTCAACGGTGCTCCTCATTGGAGCTATACGTCAACGCGGCCGCCATCTTGCCCAGGTGGAGCCGCGCTGTCTAATGCATGTATGTCTATTGAGGCAGGAGATTATTTATGATTAAAATCATCATTACTCGCTGAATTCTCAACCGATTTTCATGCGGTTTGGTTTGTTATAATTGTCAGACATGTAGTTATGATACAGGATACTTGGTTAAATAAAAAATGCAGTTGTTCATACCAAAATATTTGATCTTATGTAGATAAAGTAACAGTAATAGTTCTACAACACATTTAAACTAAACTTTCCCCATGTAATAAATATTCTTTTTTCTTACTAGATGTACAATGCCCACCATGATGTCATTTAATTATTAATTTTGACTATAAATGTTTATTCACATTTCACACAATGTGCAAAAAATAGTGTATCAGCAGGGTTGTGCTGAGCTGCAGTGTAGATTCTGATTAACAAATGTTGGTTTTGTACAAGTGAAAATAAATGACTTAGAGCTGCATGTTTACACAAAATTTTGCTTTAATCTCATATGTATAACACCACAGTGCTCATGGGAGCCTGGACACAGAACTGTTTACATTATTAGGTCATATTTACAAAAAATACAGTGTACAGTAGCTAGTATTATTTTTAGGAGTCTGCCCAGTCCTGTCGAAGTCCTCAGGTCTGAAGTGACAGCTGCAGATGACTGAGGAGTCACTTAGGACAAAGTCCTTTCTCCTCACTGCTGCTACCCATGCCCGTCTCCTATCTGTGTTTTTTGGGAAACTACACACAAAATAAGTGTGTCAGAAAAACGCAGTTCCACATAATTTGTAGTTACACTTCAGGCCACAAGTTAACTACTAACGTTATACTGCGTTATGTCACGTTGGTGCCATGAAACAGATAGTTGACAATTTGGAATAACACACACACCGACATAGCTGTTTGACAAAGGATCATAATTTTATAAGTAATATATAAATGTTAACCTTTTTTCATTAAGTTGTGTTACATAGCGTTAGCTTAATTTGGCATTAGGACCAGATCAGGACAGTTACTTTACTTGATTAGCTTAAAAGAAGGATCACTTTTTGAGATATATATCTCATTAAACATGTTCGTAACAGTAAAATATTGTAAAACAACTTCTTACCTGTGGAATTTTATTCCCTTCTGCTTGGTTTTAACACTTCTTTCGTTCGTACACCCAAATGCAGAACAAAAATGTGGCATTTTTGCCGAGTCTGACACAGGTCTGAACCGGTCAGAGCACCTAGGCAAGATGGCGGCGATATTGACGCATCCCACAAGCCAGGATGCAGCATCTATGTATATATATCTATGCTCTGGCTCTGAACGACGTCACCAGAACAAGATGGCAGCCGTATCTGGGATCTTTGAGCTTCACTTTTGCACAGTTTGGGTGAGTGGAGACGCACTGTCCGTCTTTATATACAGTCTATGGATTATTGCTATAAACACAGTCCCAACCCAAAAGTGTTGCTGTGGAAACACTGTGCCCTTTTTTTAAAGATATTTTTTGGGCATTTTTAGCCTTTATTTGATAGGACAGACTAGCGTGAAAGGGGGAGAGAGAGAGGGAGTGACATGCAGCAAAGGGCCACAGGCTGGAGTCGAACCCGGGCCGCTGCGGCAACAGCCTTGTACATGGGGCGCCTGCTCTACCACTAAGCCACCGACGCCCCACACTGTGCCCTTTTTCCGGTCTCCCATCATGTTCCCCTGGCGAGTAAGCAGCTCATTTTTTAGCCGCAAACCCCCTTTAGCATTGTTAGCACAGTTAGCAGTGTCAGCCTGACATATGCTGCTAACATACTTAACAATGCTAAAGAGGTTTTGCAGCTCAGAATGAGGCCGTTGACTCTCCAGGGCGACCTCGGGGAAGATTGGGTCACCAAGTTCAAGTTGCATATGATATAACACTTACAATTACCATGACCTGGATGACTGAGAATCTTTACCAACAAATTGGGTCACCATATTTCTGCAGTTAGTTACCAGCTGTAATCTCTGAATAAGCTGCAATAAGCAGCACCGTTAGCTAGCTCCCACCTGACTCTGTGATGCACAGTGCAGAGTGGCCAAGGCTAACATTAGCGAACCAGTAGAGACTCAAGTATGGGCAATATGTTTCCGCATGTTAACATGGCTAGCTGGCTGTCTATCAGCAAAGCCCACAGGAAAAACATGGATAGTGCTTTCAAATGCGGCGCCGAATCTCACTGAGTCAGTGGAGCGCCGGGCTGAAAGGAGAGTGCCTCTTGTATTTCACATTGTACATTTTGTTTTCTCAAAAATTCACCAGTAAGGTCCTGGTTAATAGCTAACAGACTATTGGAAATAAAATGAACCAATTACTGAGCTTTTCTGGAGCTTTTAACCACATCTCCCTGTCTTTATCAGAGAGTGGAGTTTACACAGTGACCCCCACGTGACCTCGGGAGTGAATAATTTTCGAGTCCAACAAAGGGGACACAAGAACACATTTGAAGAGTTTTTAGTGTAACATTCATGTGCTTTTTTTGTTTTTCAAGGAAAAACAAACGCAACATGAAAATATGGTTTCCACAAGATGGCAGCAAAATGTTTAGAGTGTTATAATCAATATAAATAGATATCACAGAATGCATTTTTGTGCCTCCTTTGAAGTGTGTCTACATATTTAATGTCTTTCTGTCAGTTTTCCTTCCCTTCCCGTGTGCTCAAGAGTCGAAAAAAAACCAAGACGCCCCGAAAACAAGAGGGGAAAATAAAAAGACGAGACTCCCCGCGGTAAAGCGCAGCAGATGTTTTCGTAGAGATGAGTGATGCAGATGGATCCACTTGCTGACAGATTAACACAGGATGCTGTGAGGTCGACAGAAGCTGCTGCAGCTTCGGTTCAAACAGGATCACAGAGTGATCGCAGGAGAAAAGATCAATCAGTCAGTCAGCTGAGTCAGGAGCCACACCATACCAGATACTCATGGTATATACTTTGTCTTAGCTTACGTGAATGTATTCACCTTACAGTAATAAAGATTTCTATACGTTATACTTTGTTTTTTAAAAAACAAAACAAACCTTGTAGTCTGTAAAATCAGTTTGAAGAAGCAATATGGCTGCAACTAAGAATTATTTTCATGATCAATGTGTCTATCGATTATGATTTTAATCAACTGTTGAATTAATGATTGTTAAAAATGGTGGAAAATAGTTCCTGCTGCAGCTGTTGGCATTTCCAAATTACTTGTTCAATCCCATTGACTCAAATCCAAAGTTAATTAATATGTAGTGACATGACAAAGAGAAACAAACCAAATCCCTCCCTGAAACCAGAGTTTTAGCATTTTAATAAAATAATTAAGTTAAATGATTGATCAGTTATTATCAGAGTCCCTGAAAAATTAACATTTTGGAGATACACAAATTTTACCAGACGACAGCCACATCCAGCTCACGTTGAAGGTAACGTATGAATCTATGAAAAAAACGCTTTAACTCCGGCTGTCAGATAAAAGTAGGGAGTCAAAAGAACAAAATGTCCCCCTGAAGTTAAGGAGAGGAAAAACAGAAAGTCTCAGAAATAGAACTGTTCTGAATCTGAACTGGATTAAATGTAAAAAATGTTGGCATCTCCCTTTAAATCAGCTCGTACACACATGACCCAGAACTGCGCACAAGCATGTGGACTTAAAGTCTGAGGCATCTGCCGGTAAACAGGCTGTAAACCTAATTCACCTCTGAAGTCTGTGACCCGCATGAACTACCGCAGCAGGCAAGGATCGAGGACGAGGCAGAAAAACAAAAACCACATTAAATGAGACAAGTTTCAAAAAAGAAGAGAAGGAAGGAAGGAAGGAGGAAAGTAAGCAAGGAAGGGAGGAGGAGCAGATGGGTAATTAGCTTACCAGTAGAGGAGAGACACCCTATCGAATCGATCTGCGTCCTGAGGGAGTAATGGCATCGCACGATGGTCCGAGACCCGAAAATAAAACACCCAACCAATCACACACAAACACACACAAGAGTTACGGCGCCATGAGACAGCAGCGGATGGTTCAGAGGAGGAGACGGGATGAGAGGAGACGGCGGCGGTGGTTCAAACGAGGTCGGTGTGTGTGACCGGAGTGAAGAGGAGAGGGATGGAAATCCGCCTAGACAGGGAGAGACACACGCTTACCTTTACTCACTAATCCATGCTGATACCCGTCCGTCACACACACACAACATAAGCACATGCAAACACACACACACAACATAAGCACATGCTCACGAACGACACAGAAGACGAAACTTAAAACATTTCTGAAGACGTGTCCTTTCTCCAGCTGCAAGATTAGAGCATTATAGTTAAAAACACTGGAAGGAGCTTAAATGTCTTAAAGTGTTGCCTCTTTGGAGTCTCAGAAATGCACCCGCAGAGATAAATCACCTGTAAACACGACGCCAACGAATCTGCAGCATTGCTGTTTAAAAGTATTGAGCCAAGCAGACGGCTGGATTCTGCACACATGGATTGAAATTCAAATTTCATTTGACTGAGTACACAAAAGGCTATGAATCATCAGTGGAAAATGTTTGTGAGATTAAAAAGACAGATGGGAAGCAAAGAAGGGGAAGAGGAAGGGGAGAAAGTGAGAGCTGGGCCAGCTTTAGTAGTCAGGGATGTCTTGACCCAGTCTTAAGGATCGTATTGAGTTGATCTGGGCATATTATATTGGATCAGTATCAGCTGATTAAATCCTGATCAAAATCTGATTCTTACTTCACTGAACTCGTCTGTGTTTGTTTACTCCAGTCTGCTGGTGGAAGTAGACTGAAAATAAATCTTCCATCATCCATTTTCAACCACTTATCCAAAGTGAGGTCTTGGGGGCAGCAGGCTGCGCAAAGCACCCCAGACGTCCCTCTCCCCAGCAACACTTTCCAACTCCTCCTGGGGGACCCTGAGGCATTCCCAAACCAGATGAGATATACAATCCCTCCAGTGTGTTCTGGGCCTCCTACTAGTGGAACATGCCTAAAATACCTCCAGCGGGAGGCCCCCAGGAGGATCCTGATCAGATGCCCGAACCACCTCAACTGGCCCCTTTCGACATGAAGGAGCAGCGGCTCTACTCCGAGCTCCCTCTGGATGTCTGACTCCTCACCCTTTCTCTAAGGCTGAGCCCAGACACCCCATGGAGGAAACTCATTTCGGCCACTTGTATCTTCAACCTCATTCTTTCAGTCACTACCCAGAGCTCATGACCAAAGGTGAGGGTTGGGACGTAGATGGACCCCTATTCAACACGACGTTTCAGCGCAGCGCCTGCACCACTGCAGAAGCCACACCAAACTGATCCATCTAAAGCTCCATTCTACCCTCATTCATGAACAAGAGATACTCTTCCCTGAGGCAGAGGGTGTTAATCCACTGGTTTCCAGCAGAGAACCATGGCCTCAAATTTGGAGGTGCTGACTTTCATCCCGACCGCTTCACAGTCGGCTGCTAACCGCCCCAGTGCATGCTGCATTTGTATCATGACTGTTTAATAAAGATAAACAATTTGACAGCTTCCCAAAAGTGGAATCAAAACATCTTGATGGTCCCCTGGCGGCTGGCTGCAGTATAGGTCAGTATAGGTTCCTCTGAGTCTAGGATGTCCATGCTACATTCCAATATCTCTGTTGGTGCCTCACGACAAGACCGTCATGGCAGAACTCAAAATGTAGGCAAGCTGTCCCCGACAGTAGGCGTCTGGCAGTCGGGTTCTATTGGCCGGTGACCGGGGTGGCCTACTGCAGCAGCGGTATGGCTATGACAGCCTCAACGGACCACTCCAACACTCTATGGTAGTAATGTAGTTCTTACAACAGTTACAGTGGCCAAGATCTGATTGGAAAAAGTCTTGAATTACCACTCATTTCCACTGGATGTCCACACCTGGTAAGCTCAAAGAAGGGCATGTCTATGACAACCAATCACATCTGTTAAAAGAAAGCATCATACCGAGCAACATGGTCGACCACACCTCCTCACTGAGGTCAAAGTTTCTGTCCTTTCCTTGCTCAGATGTTCACACATCTACAAAGTATTTTTATATTCAAATAAACAATGGTTGTAATTATATTGTAACAAGAATATTTGTACAGTTTAATCAAATCAGTTGGTAACTATAAACTTCACTTTATCAAGATAAGGGGAAACCTGACACTGAAAAAAAACAACTGAATTGTACGGAGCCATATTTTTGAACTGTGATTCAGAGACTCTGAACAGTGATTTGCTGGTGTGTCACACATAACAGCAACAACTGTAATCCTGTGATTTCAAAACTTCCTCCACCATTTGTACATTTGTACCCAGACAGGAAACTCATTTCTAAACTTTGAGCACCGCTTGACCTGCAGTGCCTCAGCAGTGACGCATCGGGGACGTCGGTCGGCAGGAAGAAGACAGGAAGTGTGATAGGTCACTGTCACAGAAACACAAAACCATTTTATTTGGTTCCTGGTTGTCTTGAGATCTGGAAAAATTTTGTTGAATGCGAGTCTTTATGGCGGCTTTGGTTTGCTTCTTTACCTTTAACCAGTGGTGGAGACTCAAGTCCTTAATTACAGTTTGGAGGTATTTGTACTTTACTTGAGTATTTTCATTTCATGCTAATTTAAACTTCTACTCCACTACATCACAGAGGTAAATATTGTACTTTGTTCTGCACTACATTTATCTGACAGCTTTAGTTACTTTACAAATTCAGATTACTAATACAAAATATAATCAACTAATACATTAGGATGGACTATTGTTGATTAAGTATATGAAGTCATTGAAATGAGCTCTACTTTTACTAGCTGCAACATTAAAGTGATGAACACATTAATGCATCAATAATTATAATACCATCTTACTATACTGTATAATGATGAAAACTCTGTCTGTGTGTCTGTTCCATGTTTTTCTCCTCACTGACTTGGTCAATCCATGTGAAATTTGGCACAGTGGTAGAGGGTCATGGGAGGATGCCAATGAAGCAATATTACATCAATTGGCCAAAGGGGGGCGCTATAGCAACCGATTGAAATTGCAAACTTTGAATGGACATATCTCATGCCCCGTATGTCGTAGAGACATGAAACTTTGCACAGAGATGCCTCTCCTCATGAGAGGAGATTTAGATTTTCCGCCATTTTGAATTTTTTGGATCTCTTCCTAGGAAGTTTGAGCGATCTGCATGAAACTGGGTGAACATAATCTAGGGACCAATATCTAAAGTTCCCTCTTGGCAAAAGTTGGAAAACTTACTAAAACTGAGCTTCTATAAGGCAATGAATATTGCGGAGGGCGTGGCTCATCACATAAAGGTGTATAACATCTCAAGGGTTTCACCCATCACCACGCAACTTTGTA